TCACTAGGAGGCCTGCTCTTTTCTGAATGGAAATAGAGGGGCAGTGCATCTGGGCAAGAGGGGAGATGGTGGGGACTGGGAAGAACAGAATGGGGTGGGGGGGCTCTGTGGTTGGGAAGTATTGTATGAGAGAAGAATAGAGAAAAAGAAAAAAACTCCATCTACAATAGCTATTCAAAGGAAATTCAATTTTCCTGGGTATTCTATGAATATTTGTAGTTGTCTACTTACATTTACTGTTATATCTCAAGTAAATTCTTTTGTTTCTACCAAAGAAAAAATCTGTCCCTAGTTGTTAAATTTGTTCAAGTTTAATATTAGAAAGTAATTAGAAAGTGCAAAGTATGACATAATACTGAATCAATCTATCAATTCTGAAACTTTTAAAATATTTATTTACCCATTTATCCTTCTCTCATACATTACATCCCAACCTCAGTTTCCCCTCCCTCATTTCCTCCAAGCCCCTCCCTTCCCCTCCCCTCTCCACTGAAATTTCTCTTCTTAAAAATCTTTCTACCCTCAAAAGTTATTCAGCATTGCCTAGAGATTTTGTTCATACACACTTACAAAAATGCGTTTTTTAATATATTTATATGGTCCAAATACTACTTAATTGCAAAAGATATATACGATATTTGTTATATTTACACAAAAAACATACAATACAATTCTATTATCAATAGTTTTACAACTAGCCCAAATGCCAGTGATGGTAGTGTTTTGTTCATTAAAACATTATTTATATTCAGGCTTGTGGCATAAGCCTTTAATAGGCAGATGTGTGAGAACGTAGAGTTCAACACCAATCTCAACCCCACTGTCACTGCCAGACCAGGCTGAGACACAAAGACAGACATTGGATAGGAACAAAGCATGTATATGTGGAAAGATTATTTGACAGTTAGTTAACTTAAAATATTAGAGAATGAATATCAAATTAAACAGAAAACAAGCAGCAAGTAAAAAATAAATGTAGAATGCATTAATTTTATATGAGGAAATAATTAAAATCAACTCTTTAAAGACATATAAACAATTTCATAAGTACTTTTCAATAACAAATGAAAGAAATAAAACTAAATGATACTAAGAAAACAAAAAGTACAAGTTCTACATATAGAAGGGAGTCAAAATGAATAGAGAAATATTATGGATATTACCACCATGTCAAGATAGTAACTAAAAAAATAAAGAATAATAAAAATAGTTGACTGAAAGAATTACAGGAAATAAGCTCCAAAGGAGTTTTAGAATTAGAAAATCACCATACTATAACCCCTAAAGAATTAACATCACCCAAAAAAATGGTGGCTGTCAACATCAAATTGAAGGAGACTAGATAGTTCTTCCTAAAGAAGTCCACGGAGCTAACTGCACAGCACAACTACTGATCAAAACCAAAGAAACGTATAGTTGTAAAAAATTCTTTAGTAAAGATTTTTAGTAATTACTAAAATGAAGTAATGTGATTACAAAATGGTAGAAAACCTTTATCAGTAATTTATATTACACTGGACTAATATGGAAAATGTTTGAAGAACTAAAAATATACACAACAAAGCAAAAACAATCCAACTAATAAGAGGACAATTGAATAGAGAAACACAAATGACCAATAAAAAACATTTTTAAAAGTTAAAATCTTTAGCCATTAGGGAAATCAAAATCAACCTACTACATTTAGAATGTTTCTCATCTCAGAATGTTATCAATAAATTCTGTCAAAAATATGAAGAAAAGAGAAAACTTATATGCTGTTAGTGTGGATGTAAATTAGTCTAACCAAAATGGAAGTCAGAAAAGCAGTTTAACGAAACCATAACACAGAGGTACAATATTATGCACTTATACAAATTCTACCTACATAAAAAATTAAGTGAGCTTATCATAAAGCTGATTCTCTAAGTTTAACATGGCACTTCAACAATAGCCAAATTATGCAATGAAGTTAGGTACTTATCACCAGATGAACAAGAATACAAAGTGCACACATATATACAAGCATGCACAATAAAGTTTTACTGAGCTTTCAAAAACAAAGCTATGTCATTTGCAGGAAATTGGGTGTAACTAGATTATCATCAAGTAAAGCAAAGTGAGTCAGGAACATTCCAAAGGAAAAGTGTCATCTCTTTTCTCTCAGATAAAAATTTTATAATAAAGTTCCATAATAAAAAGGAGTTATTAAGCCATGCAAAAATATGAAAAAATTAATCCTTAATAGAATCAGTGTTTACTTACCAGAGAAGAAAATAGATCAATTGATCTTACATTTTTGTTACTTATTGCCTCATTTGTGGCTGTAAAGTTGCCAACAAAACTCATCCTACTGACAACCATGATTGAAATAAATCATGGAACAATTAAAGAAATAATGAAAAAAAAACAACTGTCCAAGTCTGTGTGGAACTAGAATCTCTGAATGAATGTACCCTAAAATGGAAGCATGTCTGTAGCCTGTGATAGAAGATGACATAATTGACTAGAAAGACCATTTTCAAGTTTAGCCTGTTCCATCTGTAACAGAACATTCTTTTTTTACTTCCTTAGTGAAGGATAATAAGGCAGCAACTGTACCTGCTATTATCAATGGAGTCACGAAGATAGCGTAAATGTTAGAGTTTGCTGATGAAGTGTAAGTCCAATGATAGGAATAAACTACTTGAAACCTGTTTAGTAGAAGAGACCTGATCAGCAATTTTTTATGATCCTAACAGAAAATGCCAACACGGATGAAAGTGGAGTAGCAAGTATAATCAAGACTAACATCTAAGAAGGGTAGAAGTTCACTCCTGAAAATTTTGAACATACCATTATGTCATCCTACAAAGAACTCAGCTATAGCTGCTGTATTACCCCTTAGAGAGTCTACTGGGCTATGGTTGGAGGAAATGAATGATTTCATATGAGAAAAATTTTTATTTCCAGGCCTAGACAGCAGTATAGTGAACTGAAATAAGGACAGGAAAGAACCATATTTCAAATTATATAACACCACAATCTTCTGTCCGTTCTCTACTATGAACTACATTTATCAACCAGGCCAGATAGACACAGCTTGATGAAGCATAACAGTACTTCATATCAGCAGTTTCAAGGATTAATGTCTGTAGTTTGAGGGTTAGCCACAAAGCATGTAGAAGTGGCTGAGCATGAAGCTGAGGTAGGCTGATTGTCAGTTTAAGTCTACGATAGGCTATGATCAAAGTACATCCTCAGAACAAATCCCTCGAAAAAGCTGATTGTTCACCTGTTATGCCAGCAGTCCAAAGTATTGAGAGTTCAAGGCCAACTATATAAAAATAGAAGTTCGAGGGCAGCCTGAACACATAGTGAAACAAGGGAGTAGAATGGCAGGGAGGGAAGGGTGAGGGAAGAGGTGGGGTAGGAAAAGAAAGGAGAGAAGAAAGGGAAGGAAAGAAGGGTGGAATGGATGTGGGGAGGGGAGAGGAGAGGAAGGTAAGAGAGAGGTGAGGAAGGACAGGGAGGGGAGTAACAAGGAGAGGTGAAGTAAGTGGAGAGGGGAAAAGAGAAGAAGAAATGAGAAAACTGGGGGGGGGAGTTGAGCAAGGAAGGAGAGGAGAGGAAAAATAAGGAGAGAGGTAGGTGAGGAAGGAGAGGGAAAAGTGGAGGAGAGGAGGAGAAAAGAGGAAAGGAATACTAAGGAGAAATAGGGACTAGAGGAAAAGAAGGCAAAATAAGCCATGAGATGAGTAAGGAGGAGAGAATAGAGGAGGGGAGGAGAGATTAGGCTAAAGGAGGAAAGTGAAGTAGGTAGGGAAGGGATGGGATTTTGGAGGAGAAAGGTTAAGATGAGTGGAAGGGGAATAAAGAGGCTGGGAGGGGTTAGAAGGGGAAGAGAATCTATGCTTAAAGAGGAGAGAGGTAAAAATGGAGGGGGAAGGAGAGAAAAGGGAGGGGAGACTAAGGGAGTGATAGGAGTGGGAGATGAGAACACTGAACAAGACCTAGAGGAGAGGAAGGGAGGGGAGGGGAGGAGGAGGAGAAAAGACAAAGGAAAACTAAGAGTAGGAGGCAAGAAAAGCAGAGATGGTAGACTAGGGCATCATAAGGACAAACAAGAACTAGCTAGGAAAGACAAGAATAAGAATAGGGAACCCTCTCCCGAACAACAACAAAAAAACAGACTGCCACCCATGGAGTTCTAGTTAAAGGACCACAGGAACAGGATGGGAGGGGCTGAAAATTGATAACTAATTCACTTCCTTCTTCTGTTTACAGGTCCAAAGGAACAGAATGGGAGGGGCCAGAAATTGAAGATTACTTCCTTCTTCTGTGTAGAGGATCATGGGAACAGGATGGGAGGGGCCGGAAGGTGAGGATGACTTCACTTCCTGCTTCTGTGTAGAGGATCATGGGAACAGG